TCCATTTTATTGCTATTGCCAAAAACCAGTTTATTATTAGATTATGAGACTATTTATCAATTATTACTTTAACAATTTTCTTCTAAAAACCTATTTTCTTCTGTTGTTTTATCTTTAGTAATTTCTTCTTCCTAATTTCAATTAGTTAATTTTGTTTATTTCTAAAATATTCAAATCAGTGTTGGTTTATTTTTATTCTTGTTTAATAGTAAAGTAACTTTGTTCTATAGCTTGGTCTATATCTTACAATTTTAACATGGTTTTCCATTGTCATTATGGTCTAGTATGTAATCACAATTTTATTGTCCTTTTAGGATCAAAGGTGATTTATACTTTAAAATTTAGAGTTTTTTACTTCTGTTATTTTTTGGGGGCTATCCTATAGCTATTAATTCTTAGCTTTACTCCATTATGCTATCTTTGCATGTGTGTTAGTCATTCAGTTGTGTCCGACTTTTTGTGACACTCATGGACTGTGGCCTGCCAGGCTCCTCTGTCCATGGAAATCTCCAGGCAAGAACAATGGAGTGGGTTGCCATTTCCTACTACAAGGGATCTTCCCCACCAAGGGATCCAACGCAAGTCTCCTGCATTACAGGCGGATGCTTTACCGTCTGAGCTACTATACCATCTTTCAGTTCAGTTCAGTTCAGTCACTCAGTCGTGTCCAACTCTTTGCGACTCCATGGACTGCAGCACACCAGGCCTCCCTGTCCATCGCCAACTCCCAGAGTTTACTCAAACTCATGTCCATTGATTCGGTGATACCATCCAACCAGCTCATCCTCTGTCATCCCCTTCTCCCGCCATCAATCTTTCCCAGTATCAGGGTCTTTTCCAATGAGTCAGTTCTTCATATCAAGTGGCTAAAGTATTGGAGTTTCAGCTTCAGCATCAGTCCTTCCAATGAATATTCAGGACTGATTTCCTTTAGGGTGGACTGGGTGGATCTTCTTGAAGTCCAAGGGACTCTCAAGAGTCTTCTCCAACACCACAGTTCAAAAGCATCAATTCTTCTGCCCTCAGCTTTCTTTACAGTCCAACTCTCAGATCCATACATGACTACTGAAAAAACCATAGCTTTGACTAGACAGACTTTGAATGTCTCTGCTTTTTAATATGCTGTCTAGGTTGGTCATAACCTTTCTTCCAAGGAGCAAGCGTGTTTTAATTTCATGGCTGCAGTCACCATCTGCAGTCATTTTGGAGCCCCCCAAAATAAAGTCTCTCACTGTTTCCATTGTTGCCCCATCTATTTGCCACGAAGTGATGGGACCAGATGCCATGATCTTAGTTTTCTGAATGTTGAGCTTTAAGCCAACTTTTTCACTCTCTTCTTTCACTTTCATCAAGAGGCTCTTAAGTTCTTCACTTTCTGCCATAAGGGTGGTGTCATCTGCATATCTGAGGTTATTGATATTTCTCCTGGCAATCTTGATTCCAACTTGTGTTTCATCCAGCCCAGCATTTCTCATGATGTACTCTGCATATAAATTAAATAAGTCATGTGACAGTATACAGCCTTGATGTACTCCTTTCCTGATTTGGAACCAGTCTATTGTTTCAGGTCCAGTTCTAACTGTTGCTTATTGACCTGCATACAGATTTCTCAGGAGGCAGGTCAGGTGGTCTGGTGTTCCCATCTCTTTCAGAATTTTCCAGTTTGTTGTGATCCACACAGTCAAGGGCTTTGGCATAGTCAATAAAGCAGAAGTAGATGTTTTTACCATCTTTACTTAACCAAATTTAGATCATCCTTCTAGGCTTAACATACATGCCATCTCCTTCAAGAAGTCTTTCTTATACCTTCTGTGTTCTCTCACTTCTCTAAATGTGTACATGTATCTTTTTATATTTATACCACAATTTTATATATTAATACCTTCCCTCTTCTCTTACTGGACATCTACTCTCCCGCTATTTCATTCCTTTTTGAGATTTGCAGCTTAGCTCAGTACTTTGTGATTTTTACAACAAGATTGCATTCAATGCAACAAATATTTACTGAGCAGAGGCATCAGACGCTTACAATGCATCAGACATTGTTTTAGGCACTAGGAATAGTGTTAAATGAAGGATATAAGGCTTTTAAGATTAGTAGGAGAGATGAACAGGTAAAGATATTAAATGTCCAAGTGAGCTTTAAGAGACTTGAGTTTAAGCACCTTATAGCACTCGAAAATAAAGGACAAAAACGAACAAACCCGTTCAAAGGAGGAATAGGGGAGCAAATGGCCCTTTAGGCACAGCTTCAACCGTAAATAGCCTAATAATCCAACCCAGAGATTATCAAAATATAATCCGCAGTATCTGCTTCAGAATCATTTGAAGTTTGTATTAAAAAAATGCAGATTCACACCTACTAGAAATTAGAATGAGTGATATTTAAATCTGCGTTTGAAACAAACTCCCCATGTACTCAAACCATCCAAAAATGTACAATACAGTAGAGTCAAGTTTCGCAGAAACCGTTCGAAAGCCGCTCCCTCCTTCTAGCCGGAGGAGAGCCTGCGGCATATCTCATCTCTTTCCTTTCGGCCGGGTCTCCGGACACTGGGCCACACGCCACAGGCTTTCTGGTCAGACGCATAGCTCAGCCACCTCCCACCTGAGTCCAGCGAACACTCAGCAAAGGATTGGGGTGGGGGGGGTGGGGGGCGGAAAGCAACAGGCCAATCTAAAGGGCGAGAGGCGTAGCCGGCGAAGCGGGAGATGTATTTGATTGACGTGAAATATGCCCAATGAGGGCAGAGGACAAGTGACGCTTTCGCCTCAATGGGCAGGACGTTAGCGATTTCAACCAATCCAGCTCAGAAGTGTGTTGCTTTGTGGGAGGTTTTTGAGACCGCTGAGGGTCGTTGGCGTCTGTCGAACGGCTTGTGAAGTCTTGCTGCTTTGGGTAGGGGTTTAAAATCGTTCTCGAGAGGAACGTCTCAGTCCGAAGAGAAAATGAGTTTAGCTCTGAGGTCGGTAATGAGGAGGCGGCAAATGCACTCCACAACCTCGCAGCGGGCCCCAGGGCGGTTGTGTGTGGAAGGGAAGCAGCTGGGGGCCGAAGCGAGGAAGGGAATGCAGTTTGGGACGAGGGACGGGATGCTTGGTCAACTTTCCCGGGCCCAGAGCCCTTCCCCTTGGGGACCCTGTTGAGCTCCGCACTTTAGCTGAGGCGGTCATTTCTGTCAGGGCACTGGCTTTAGACCGCCAAAAAGCCGGACTGTGGTAGTCTTAAGGAAGCAGGGAAATATCGCGAGGTTTCAGTGCGCGGTGTTTGTGCGAGAAACCGGGAAACCAGGCCTTGGAGCATCACTTGGTTCTGTGCCTGGTCCATGGCTCCCACCTCAGCCGACCTCCTGCTAACGTGCGTGCTTAGTCGTTTCAGTCGTGTCAGACTCTTTGCGACCCTATGGGCTGTAGCCCGTCAGGCTCCTCTGGGTGTGGGTTTCTCCAGGCAAGAGTACTGGAGAGGGTTGCCTTGCCCTCCTCCAGGAGATTTTCTCTTGCATTGCAGGCATATTCTTTACCCACTGAGCCACTTGGGAAGCCCGCTGCTAACATATTTACCCATAAATTTTGGAAATAACGCAAAACCTCTCCTCTTTCTCCAGGGGCCCTGCAAAAGGGTATAATCAGAGGCCCCCTTTAGTGATTTTAGTTGGTAATCTCTTAGATTTCCTAAATTTTCTCATTTTATCTTTCATTCATTTCCAACCTCTAACCCACTGTTTTTTGCTCCCTCTCCCAACCCCAGCTAGAAGTTTTACCTTAAAAGTGTTTATGTAGTTACGCTTCAGTAAAAAGGAAGCGAGTTCTGAAGAGGGATAATCGTGGTATCCTTGAATGTCTACTGTCGGTGGGTTGTGAACTTTTGTCCGGTCAGAATCTTGGGAAGAGAATAACCCCCGGAGTTTCCAAGCTTGTGTGAATTCAGGTCTCTTGTGAAAGAAAGAGCTTTATCGTAACCTCATTTGGTCATTTTCTAGCCATCTCTTGCCTTTTTAGAGTAGATTTCAGAGAATAAAAGAAAAGTCAACTGGTTTTTACATTTTTAAAGTTTATAGAATTCTTGTTTCAAAACTTGTACAAGTGTTGTAGCCCCATTTGAAAATTTGGAACGCTTATATTGGCACCTCTTAAGGAAGACATTTCTAGTTTTTAGAGTAAATTACTTTTTTTACTTTTACTTTAAGTTTTTTCAGAGTTTGTGAGAAAGTGTCTAGATGTATATGCTGAGATTTACAAGACGGTTGACTCTTCACCGTATATATAAATAAAATACCACAAGTATTAAGTACTTTTTTTCATATTTGATATTTGTGGTATGCTTACGTTCATTATTTTGGCTGATTTGTTGATATCAATGGGAGAAATTATAAAAAAAGTGCCAAACAGTTTAAAATGTGTAGTCTAAAAATACTAAACAGTCTAAACAGTGCCAAAATAGTGCCCAAATAAACAGTGCCAATTGTAAATTAATTGATGAATTAGATGTTTTTGCAATAATTTTGATAATTCTAAGCACTGTAAAAATAAACCTAATATATAGAAATCAACAATTGTGAATTGAATTCTTTTTTTTAAACAGTCTGTATTGTAGAATGATGAGAATAAGTATGGGTGCTTTGTTTTTTGTGGGGGTTTCTGACAGAACTGTTTCTTATTCACAGTTCTTGTTTCTTCCGCAGTAATATTACTGGGAATAAATAAAAGCTAGGAAGAAGGAAAAGCTAGGTCCTCATTTCTTTTAATAATCTCTAAAACTGTAAAACTTTTCAGTTTTAGGGAGGTACAAATCTAAAGCAGCTTAGACAATGGAATGAGCAGGGCTTTGACTCATGTAAGGAAATTTATTTATGTTTTTACAAAATACTTTTTAGATATTTAAAACATTATTCATTGGCTAATTTTTTTGTTGCATTTTTTGGAATTTTATCCTTTAGAAGCATATGACAATAGGATTAATAATAGTGGACTAAATAGACTTTTTTCTTATTATTTCATAGAAATGAGCTTGTAGTAGACAAAACAAAGAGGAAAAAAAGAAGAGAACTCTCTGAAGAACAGAAACAAGAAATTAAAGATGCTTTTGAACTATTTGACACAGACAAAGATGAAGCAATAGATTATCATGAATTAAAGGTAATACACTTAAAATATATCTTCTCTGTTAAAATGTTTTGCATTTTTATCCGCTGATTAAAAATGCATTTCTAAATATTTTAATTGAACTGGTTTTGGAAATGTAAACCATTTTAAACATTTACTGTTAAGGGCTATAATAAAGTTGAGTAGTACTTGTATCTTTTTGGAAACTCCTTTTCACATGGTAAAATGAATAATATTTTAAATGTAAAAATATATTCCTGTAGAGGGGCTTATTTTTCATTCACATAATTAAAATATTTGAAACTAGGATTTAAACAGTTGTAACAATATCCTTCCCATTGTGTGTTTTTTTTACTTTTTTAAAAACTCATTCATTTCTCAGATTGAGGGAGTGTTGTTTTTTAATTTAAACATGTCAGTAACAGTCTCAACCTATTTTCTCTTATTCAGATGACATGAGTCGTGTCTGATGTTGATGCAGTGCTCATGGGGAAAAATATCAGTTTTTAGTTTTAGAATTTTTTATAAAGAATCAAGGGGAAATCGGTGTTTAAGATAGTTTGGATCTTAAACTCAGCACAGTGAGTAAGGTAGTATCCTTGTGGCTCTTTAGCTTATTTTTCCCTCTGTTTTAGTTACCCAGCTTTGATCAGTTCTTCCTTTATAATGGGCTTCCCTTGTAGCTCAGCTGGTAAAGAATGTGTCTGCAGTGATAGAGACCTGGGTTCGATCCCTGGGTTGGGAAGATCCCCTGGAGAAGGGAAAGGCTACTCACTCCAGTATTCTGACCTAGAGAATGCCATGGACTGTTTAGTCCATGGGGTCGAAAAGAGTCGGACACGACTGAGCGACTTTCACTTCACTTCACTTCCTTTACAATGTCTCTTCTGTTTGTGATCATTCTTATTATCTTGGTTTGCGGTCTTCTTTTATATCTGGAACCTCTACATGGCTTCTCCATTTCCTGTACACTGTTATTAGATCGTCTTTCTGAAACTCTTCCGCCATGTAATTCATTGCTCACGAACCCTTAGTGGCTCCTCACTGTGCACTAGGTAGAGTTCAGATTTTTTTCATTTGCATTGAAAGCCTTCCACACTTTTACTACCACCTACTTTTTCTCATTTGCTAACTGCTTTTTTTCCACCTAATCTTTCCCCATTCAGGTAAGGTAAAGTGCTCTGTTCACTGTGTTCAAGCCTATTGTATATTTCTTTGTGTGTTTTAGTACTAGTCATTCTTTCCTAAATGCCCTTCTACTCCACTTCATCCAACTTGGATCTCTTCAAATAAGACTTGTTAAATAATAACATCCCTTCTTTGCTACTATTAACTAGATCTTTTCTTTCTCTAAGCTCAGGATCTTGACTACTTACTTGATAACTAGTAAGTAGTTGATAACTTGATAACTAATCGTGTTGAGTAATTCTTATTTTAATTTTTTAATCTCTTCTGTTGTATAACTTTTGAGTATTTATGCTATGCCTTTTTAAAATTCGGTTGTTAATCCTTTGAGAAAAAATAACTTGTTAAAATTATCTGTGCAGTAAAGTCAGTACATTGTACAATATATTCTGTAAACACTCATTGATTAGTTTGTCATATTAAAAAAGGGATACATAAAAATGAAAAGAAATGCCATTTAATTTTAATAATGAAGGAAAAACTATCACTGTTATTTTAGAAACATAAAACATGTGAAAGAATATGCTTTATTGATATGTTGTCATCTTTTAAGTTTTAAGAACTTAAGAATTGGAATTCACTTATTGTAAAAATTTTTTTATAATTTGCTTTTCCCTTTTAATCCAAAAGGTGGCAATGAGAGCCTTGGGGTTTGACGTAAAAAAAGCTGATGTACTGAAGATTCTTAAAGATTATGACAGAGAAGCCACTGGGAAAATAACCTTTGAGGATTTCAATGAAGTTGGTGTGTATTTTAACAGTTTTGTAAAGACTGTTTTACAGAAGTCTTTGTAATCAGCAGTTGTTAGGAAATTATCTGGATACTATCAGTATTTTTAAAATTCTCTGGGTTGTGGAATTTTGTCATTGGACATTGCTGTATAATGTATATCTTATTTTTGGGTTTTTTTGGGTGCTCTTTCTTTTTTTGCTAATTCTCAAAGAAAAGATTTGTAGCTTCACTATAAATGAGATTTATCATTTTGGTTTTTGTTTTGTTATGAAGATTTTAACCAAGCAACTGTTGTGTTGCTTGTTATGAGATGATGTCTTTCTATGTAACGTGTACCTATATTATGTGATAAAACTAAGAGTGGTTGAGAAATTATTTTCTTAGAGGAAAAGATAAGGTTGGTGTATTTTTGCTTGGAAAATATTTCCCAAGATCATCCAAGTAAGTGATTTTTGTTTGCAAAGTGGGAGAAGAGGAAATTGGTAGCAGTATCTACCAATCCACCCTATCTAAAGATATGGTATCTTTAGTCATATATGAAATACATGCCTTCAAGTTGACAAAGCATATGAGGGGCTGCATACTGTAGATGACCTTGATGTCAATGAGTAAAGTCATCTCTTTAAAGTTACTGGTGGGGAGAAGATTGTAGTAAGGGTGGCAGTTGCCAGACTGGGAGCAGACAACCAGCTGGGTCATAATTAAGCATATTATTATTTTTTAATGTCTATTCAAATCCTTTGTTCATTTTAAAAAATGTTTAATTTGTTTATTTGGTTGTGTTGGATCTTAGTTGTAGCATATTGGATTTTTCATTCTAGTACACAGACACTCTTATTGAGTCACTTGGGCTTAGTAGTTGGCAGTGTGTGGGCTTTATGTTCCGCAGCCTATGGGATCTTAGTTCCTGGATCGAATGCATGTCCCTGGCATTGCGAGGAAGATTCTTAACCACGAGACCACCAGGGAAATCCCCTAAGCATATTATTTAGTTAGTTTTTGATATTCCAAGAATCTAGGAAAATTCAGCTACACACAGACATACACAAAAAAACCTTTAAGTATTCAACAAGAAGTAATATGAGAAAGAAAAAGAGTAGCAATTAGTACATGTGGAAAAAATAGATTTGTATCATTAGTAATTTTTGTCAAATCTGAAAATTTGAACCCAAAGCAAGGAAGAAGGAAATTAAAGGAAAAAATCTAGAAGACAGAAAAGCACCACAGAGAAGATCTCCAACTTATGAATGAATAGATGATTATTTGGAGAGGAGCTTGTCCCTTTGGAGAGCATATTCTTTTTTTTCTCTAATTTGTAGAATTTACTTGAGGAAGAGTGCCATCTTCATTTCTCCAGTATTGAAGCTTTCAGGTTTATGATTTTAGCAAAAGTTTCAACTAGATTGTTTATAGAAACAAGGTTCAGGATACAGTAGGAATGATACTACTAGGAAGGAGCTATAATTCAAGTAAATTTGGTCCAGTGTAGTGGTTTAGCATGGACATTTTGGAATCAGATTGCCTGGGTTTAGATCCTGGTTTTGCCACCTACTAGCTGTGCAACTTGATCATTTTACTTCTCTCTGCCTCATTTTCAGCTATAAAATGGGAATGGTTGTACTATCTCATAGGGTTCTTAGGAATAAATAAGTTAAAAATATGTGAAGTGTTTAACAAAAGAGCCTTAGTATACAGTAAGTTCAATTGAAAGTGAAAGTTGCTAAGTTGTGTCTGACTCTTTGAGACGCCATGGACTATAGAGTCCATGGAATTCTCCAGGCCAGAATACTGAAGGAGGTAGCCTTTTCCTTCTCTAGGGTATCTTTCCAAACCAGGGATTGAGCCCAGGTCTCCCTCATTGCAGGCAGATTCTTTACCAGCTGAGTCAATTTAGTGTTATTACTTGAAAAATTAGTCTTTGTTTTAATGGCTCAAAAATATCATATATGCTTATTGTTGAAGCATAAAAAGTATTCTACTCCATGTATTTATATTTTTCTCATTACCTTTTCCTGTATGTTGACGCTAGGTTGGGTCTTACTCTTTGTGACCCCATGTACTATAGCCCGCTAGACTCCTCTGTCCAAGGGCTTCTCTTGGCAAGAATAGTGGAGTGGGGTGCTGTTTCCTCCTTCAGGGAATCTTCCCAGTCCAGGGATTGAACTGGCGGCTCTTGCGTCTCCTGCATTTTCAGGCGAATTCTTTACCACTAGTGCCACCTGGTTGTAGGTTATTTTAAGCACTATATATTTGTCTATAATAATTTTATAAAACATTATTTCATCTTAAGTGGATACGGTTTTAAAATTTTGATTTTATTAGCAGTTGAAGCCAGAGCCCTATGCCATCTCTACCTTTCCTGATCCTCCATCTCTTCTATGTTTTTAATAGAGCAGAAATACTGGGTTCCTTCTAGAATAAAGGTTCATGAATAAACTTCACCCTGACTTTCAAAGATCAACCTTTTCACAGGCTCAGCACATACTTTAGCTATCCTTAGACCACTTATTAAGAGTATCAACTGTCAGATAAAATTTTATTACTGTTTGGGAATAGTTAAGAGCTATGTTTTCTCTCCATTTTTTTGTTATTTTAAAATAATGACTGACCACAGATGAATATATGTTTTATGTGCTGTGCTGTGCTTAGTCGCTCAGTCGTGTCTGACTCTCTGACCCCACGGACTGTAGCCCGCCAGGCTCCTCTGTCTGTGGGGATTCTCCAGGCAACCCACATGCCCTCCTCCAGGGGATCTTCCCACCCCAGGGAGCAAACCCACTTTGGGACAAATGACTCTGAATCAGAATAGACCCAGGAATTGAACCGGGATCTCCTGCATTGCAGGCAGATTCTTTACCAACTGAGCTATCAGGGAAGCCCAGCCCCCTGCTTTAGAGAATAGGAAAGCTAGGATTGGGCCAGCTAGGTAAAGTCTTATATGCCATAGAGTTTGGCCTTTAGTCAGCAGTTTTTTAAAGAGGAGATATGTTTTTAGAGAGGTAACTCTGTTGAGATTATTAAAGATTATGTTGGAGGGAAGAGAGATTGTCAACAGAATATACAGTTGGCCTTCTATCCCTGGGTTCCACATCTGTGGATTCAACCAACTGTGGGTTGAAAATTAGGAAAAAAAATGCCAGAAAGTTCTGAAGAGCTAAACTTAAATTTGCTGAATACTTGGCAATTTTTTGCGTAGCATTTACATTGTATTTGGGCTTCCCTGATAGCTCAGTTGGTAAAGAATCCTGTAACGATTCCTGGGTTGGGAAGATCCGTTGGAGAAGGGATAAGCTATCCACTGCAGTATTCTTGGGCTTCCCTTGTGGCTCAGCTGGTAAAGCATCCGCCTGCAGTGTGGGAGACCTGGGTTCCATCCCTGGGTCGGAAAGATCCCCTGGAGAAGGGAAAGGCTGCCCACTCCAGTCTTCTGGCCTGGAGAATTCCATGGACTGTATAGCCCATGGGGTCGCAAAAGGGTCGGATGCGACTTTCACTTCACTTCACCACATTGTATTTACAACTATTTACATAGCATTTACTTCACTTCACCACATTGTATTTACAACTATTTACATAGCATTTACATTGTATTAGATATTGTAAGTAGTCCAGAGATTAAAGTATAACAGGGGGTATGTGCATAGATTATATGCAAATACTATCTGTTCGGGATGTTGAAATCTGAGGAGAGTCCTGGAACCAGTCTCCCATGGATACCAAAGAATCTGAGGGACAACTGCAATAGATTTTTTGTGCTGAGGGTGGTGAGAGTGAAAAGAAAAGGGATCTAGTTAAGAGTAAAAAAGTTAATAACCTCAGTATTCTAGGATATGACTGCTTGGGTTTAAAGTTTTAATGTGATGTTTTCTAATTTGCTGTATTAAGTGGTTTTTAAAAACAGATTCAGTGTTTTTATTTAATTTTTTTAGCAGACCATTTATATACCTCCCCACCCCTTCCTTTAAATTAGTCTTGATAATTTTCCATAATAAACTACTCAAAGAGAAACTTTGGTCAAGAATAGAATGAAATCTCAAAACAAAAAAACCCATAAAACAAAACTCAATCTCTGCTGCTTTTAAAAAGTCAACACTTTCACCAATTATAGTCAAACAAAACAAAACAAGGTTTGCGCCACGTGTGTCTTCAGTGTTTCCTGACAGTGGCTCTCCTCCGCATGTGAATGGTGGAGCTGCCTCACGCAGCCTGTCCGTCCTCATGCTGGGTCTGGAGGTCCGCTCATCTTCACATTATCCGAAGGCCCTGGCTGGAAGATTCTAAGGTCTTGAAAGCCCAAATGGTCACAGCTCAGTTGACACCGTTAGTGCAAAATTTGCAACAATCTTAGTTGTCCATCTCATAAATAGAGACGTGAGTGATGCTTCTTGACTTGACTTCTGATGCACCAAACTTGACTTCTGGTGCACTGTCTCCAGGGCCATGTTGTGGTCCTTGGTCATGGCCTGCTTGTCCATGTTGCGTTGGATGCTCTGTTTGGGGATGTCCAGCTTGCTGACGGTCAAGCAGCTGCGATTGTTCTAGTTAAAAGAGCATGGGGCGGCAGTCATGGCCAGCAGCCACGATGCTGTTCTCTGAGACAGACGACACACTCAGGAGGGGCAGGAACTCCATCTTCAGAGTTGAGACCTGCACGCTTTTTGAGGTGTCGGCAGTGGACATGGTGCTGTTGTGGCTGACCCGGGCCAGGCGGCTGCTGCCGGCCAAGAAGGTGACCCCATGTGCCCTGCCTCCATACTCTGACATCAGCTGACCGAAAGGCATTTTGCCACCCCAGGGCGTACTGGCTGGCTTCTCATCTACTTCTTTACTGTAGGTAGAAAGCACTCATCATTTGAAGTCACAGGATCCCACTGCCAGCAAGACGTTGTTGGGATGCCAATCCAAGCTGAGGGCCGTGGAGTGGATGGGCTTTTTAATGTGCTTGCTCACCCATCAGTCATTTTCAGACTCAAAGTACCAAACAGAGATGAGTCATGCCCTGCTGCCCATGGCAAATCTGTTCTCACTTGATGAAAATGGCTGCACGGTTAATTCTCAGGATCACCAGGGTTAGCTTCCAGACACCATCTTTCTGACTCCAGACGTAGGCATTGCGGTGGGCCCCGCAAGTGATGGTGTGGTCACTCTTGGGAGCCCAGTTGGGACCTGTGATGTGTCCATTATGCTCCTTGAGTTCCTGAACTTTCACCCACTAGCCCCTGTTCTTATAGATTTGGACTTTGTGATTATTGGGGCTAAGGGCGCTTTGGGTATGATCCATGTTCTAGGCATGAAAGGTGATGGGCTATAGTAAAAACTGATGCAGCAACATTGTTCTTAGTGCTTCTGAAGGATAGAAAGCTGGCGTTGGGGCCATCTGGACGGCCTCGGAGTGTTGACTTGGTGGGATCTAGTCAGTCCACACTCAGAGACTTTGGCAGACACAGGTGAAGGACCCTTAGGTGATTGTTAGAATGTGTAAGTTCTAACTGTCTTGAGTGAGTACATTTCTGGTAGTATAATTAAGTCGTTTGAAAATAGAGTTACATGGACAGAAATTTGTGAAATAGATTGAACCCACCTTTACTGCCTTTCTGTTGATTTATTTTCATTGAAAAAAAATGTTACAATTCTGCTTTGTAGAATAAGAATAGAACATGAAGGCATGGAGGAGAGTCATCATAAAGTTAAAATTATTTAGCTGTCCAGAATGATGGGTATTTATACTTCCAAAGAAAAGTTGCATTCTAAGGCAAAGTATTGATAAAAGATTATATAGACACACAAGTCTGAAGTAACTAACACAATTAAAGCACCACTGGGATAGGAATTTATACATCTTGGAACCCCATCTGTTCCCCAGATCACCCTGTTGCTTCTTTAAGTACATTAATATTTTAAGCAAGCTGCTTTTTTGGTTCACCTGTCATGTAAATTATTTAATTGGTGAAGAAAATTTCTTAACACTTTTTTTTTTCCTTGTCCTGCTTTTTTGTTGGGACTAAATTCAAAATAAGTTGAGTATGAGCCATAAAGTTAAGTGTGGTATTTTATTTTGGTGTTATGGCTGTATATATGCCAACTCCTTTTTAACTGAATATTTATGAGCTTTGATGATTTGCATACTTATAATAATATACTTCAATTAGTTACTTGGAAGACTTTTGTATAAAATTAATGGATAAAAGAAAATTATTGTAGAGGAAAAACTCAAAAAAAGAAAATTATTTAATATATGTGTAGATGATTTAACATTAGCCTGAATAGGTGCTTATTCTAAAGCTCATTCAACCAGCTATGATGCAGACAGCAGCACAGCAAGAGTTTGTGGGGGCCTTGACTTGTATTTTTCTTTAGGGTGCATTAAATATGCCAGTGTTTTCCATCTGTAAGCCTTTGCAAATTTTTAATGATTCTATAAACCTCACAGGATGGAGTTATTTTTAATGGCACAGTGAAAGTCATAAATACCTCTTGTAGTGGTAGATTAACATGTAGAATTACTTCAAAGATTTTTACTTTGATATTTTCAGAATTTTATCTAATAACTTAAAAAATTTTATACCACAGATTTAAAAAGTTTTGTTATTGTGGCTATTGATTAAAGACTGTGGTTTTATGAAAATATCAAGCTTACTCTTATTATATATTATTAAATTTAGTATACTAAGTAATTGTTACTGTTGAGGCCTGAAATTGCTCACATTTAATTTTAATTTAGCTGTCTGATAGTTATTCTCCTGCTGAACAGAATGGATTTGACTTTAGAGAGATCTCCTTTCCAGACTTTTTTATTCTTACTGAAATCAGATTCTATCCTTTTAGTAACTTCTTTTGAGAAACCAGGGGGTTCTTCTAAGTTACGAAGATACCAGCGGAATTTTCATATACTGTCTGAGATTGTGTCTTTATCAGTGGTGGCAGTTAATTTTGTAAATTTGTTAGGGAAATTTGTTTGTTTTTAAGTTGTGTTAAATTCGGAGAACAATGAGTATTACTGTTAAGTTTAGCCAGCAAACAAGTTTTAGTTGGTTTTGATTGTTTTGTTGGTATGTCATCTCTGCAACGAGGTTAAGAACTCCTGGACTTGTGTGCTTGATGTCAGTGGAACCTAGTACCGTTCTTAATAGTAGACCTTAAATAAATATGGTATAAATATAGTTTTCAAAAATTTGCTTCTGTGTAATATAATTATGCTTACTCTTATAATAGGATATTGTTGTTTAGTCACAAGTTGTGTTTGACTCTTTTGCGACCCCGTGGACTGTAATGCGCCAGGCTCCTTTGTCTAAGGGATCTCCCAGGCAAGAATACTGGAGTGGGTTGCCATTTCCTTCACTGGGGATCTTCCTGGCCCAGGCTTCAAACCTATATTTTCTGCTTGTCAGGCAGATCCTTTACCATTGAGCCACTTGGGAAGCCATATAATAGGATAAATTATTGATAATGTGAATGTTAGATTCTAGAATATGGATTTGTCTTTTCTGATTTTAGGTTTATCTCAGGGATTTTGTACTTTGGTTTGGCATTTTTATTGTCAAACTAATTGTTGACAATTTCACAGCTTTAATTCTCTTGTAATAATTAGTTGATTTTACAAATGAATGCCTTTGTGACTGTGAAGGTTTACTTTTCATCTCTTTTTAACTATAGTGACAGATTGGATATTGGAAAGAGATCCACATGAAGAAATACTGAAAGCATTTAAACTATTTGATGATGATGATTCTGGTAAAATAAGCTTGAGGAATTTGCGACGTGTTGCCAGAGAACTGGGTGAAAACATGAGTGATGAAGAACTTCGGGCTATGATAGAAGAATTTGATAAAGATGGTGATGGAGAAAGTAAGTTTTGAGTAAAACATATATTCCAAATATTCCTACTTGTACACATGAGTAATTTTTTTTAAACCAAATGATTTTCAACACCCTTTGCAAACTGTCCCTTTATTTAGTGTAAATGTTCATCCTGTAATGGGCTTTTTGCATAAGTATTACATATACTTGGCTTGGAATGAAGCAGACCTTTAAAACCAACTGTACAGGTTATAATATGAGGTTCCACACTTCAAGAAAGTGTTTTTCTTTGAAGGTGAAGTATCTCCAAAATTTCAGCCACTCAGTAAATCTCAGCCTTTAATGCTTTCTTCCTCAACCTTTATGCATGTCTAAGTTTGAGTCTGCCCTTCAGATATTTTGAAGTTTTATTGCTTTATTTACTGCTGCTGTCCTAATTCAGGCCCTAATTTATTTGTTGGAATTCTATAATATCATAGCTTCGTTTATTATTTCCTTGAACGCCTGCTGGTACACAGTTCTGTGTGCTGCCTGGTGCTGCCCAATAAGAGGCTGATGTTGTCCCTTCTCTTGCTGACTTAGAGTCTCTTGTAGCCTCCTAATTGCCTCCTGTATGCCTCTAAGCCTCTGTTTTCATCCCAATTTATTCTAATATCATTCTTTTCCTAAAATGCAAGTTTGGTGATGTCATTTTCATATTCAGACACTTACGATTCTTCAGTGCCTATGGAATAAAGTCCAAAGCCTTTTATGAGATCTGTCCTGTAACAGCTCTCTCGTTTTATTTCCCACTGTATTCTTCTCTTTTTACTCTAACCCTCACTTCTTATATAGTATACATACTTGGACAGAATTTACTCCATCCTGTCCTTTTATGCTGTGCCTTTCATCATGCTGTTCTTTAATCTAATTGCCAGTTTCTGTCTGCTAAAATGTTAGTCGTTATCTCAGGTTCATCTTAAACTCCTGAGAGCCTCCCTCATTGATCTCTATTTGTAAATGATGAAATTTCCATTGAGGGCCCATTTAGAGAAACAGTCTTTTTTGACCTTTTATACATTGCCTTCTGTTAGTTATATACATATGTGTCTTTCCAATTATATTGTGAGCCACTGAAGAGCAGTGTGGAATCATACAGTGCGAAAAGCCTGAGGCTTTGGAATCATACAGGCTTGGATTTGAATTCAATCTCTACCACTTACTTAGTAGCTCTGTAATTTTGTGCAGGTTTTTAACATTTTCTGAGTCTCAGTTTTCCTATTTATAAAAATGCAACTTTAATACCTTTCAAGGTGGTTATGATTATGAAATGAGGATAACTGAACGTGCCTAGCATTAAATGTAAACTTGTTTTCCTTTTTTTTTCTTTTTCATGTTTATATTCTTCTGCGTTTTCTTGAACGTGATGAGTACTATGATGTTTGTTGACTTAAGTAGTAAGCAGGAGTGTGTGTTACAGTAGATATAAGTTGCTATAGTACCAACTATTCATTTTTACATGAATATATATATTTTTATGTATATACATATATTTATATATTCTTGGAAATACTGGCATGCTTCAAGAAGGAGGTAAGACAGTAGCAACTGGTTATCAACTCAGGTTTGTAGATTGTCTGTTAGAATTGTGCATTATTATGCTTTCCCATTATATTTATGTGACTATTATTGAGCATTACACAACTTTTCTGGGGCTTTCTGGGTAGCTAAGTGGTAAAGAATCTGCCTGCAATGCAGGAGGCTTGGGTTTGATCCTTGGGTCAGGAAGATCCTCTGGAGGAGGGGATGGCAACCCGCTTCAGTATTCTTGCCTGGAGAATCCCATGGTCAGAGAAGCCTGGGCTATAGTCTATAGGGTCGCAAAGAGTTGGACAATACTGGAGTGGCTTAGCATGCATGTATACAACTTTTCTATTTTTAGTACTAGCTCTTTGAAGAGAATCAACATAATTAATTATATTTTAAAACAGAGATGATTGAAACTTGAGAAAATTAAAATGACTTCTTAAGCTCTAACTCTAATATTTGGATTTATAATCCGTTGCCTTCATAGTTAAAAAATGTTTGTGTCTTCCCAAGCTGTTGATTATTACTCTAAGTTAGCTTTAAATGAGTTCCTTTATGTAAAGTACTCTCTTCAGTGGTAGAGAGAATCTTGATATGTCTATTTCATACTCCTCCTACTTAATGTGTCAAAAGACCAGAGTTATAAACAGTTTCTTTTACCTATACTAGGTACAGGATTGCTTCTCTAAATAAAGCTGTGGTAGTGATATAGAACGGAGAAGGCAATGGCAGCCCACTCCAGTACTCTTGCTTGGAAAGTCCCATGGGCAGAGGAGCCTGGTAGGCTGCGGTCCATGAGGTCGCTAAGAGTCAGACACGACTGAGAGACTTCTCTTTCACTTTTCACTTTCATGCATTGGAGAAGGAAATGGCAGCCCACTCCAGTGTTCTTGCCTGGAGAATCCCAGGGACGGCGGAGCCTGGTGGGCTGCCGTGTATGGGGTTGCACAGAGTCGGACACGACTGAAGCGACGCAGCAGCAGCAGCAGTGATATAGAAAGACTCCCTCCCAAGATATATAAACTAAAACACAATAAATCTTTTTGAAAAACGGTAGCAACATTAAAAAAACCCCAAGTGGACCATCTTCTAAATAATTATGAATGTTAACATTTGAAGTGAAGTGAAGTTGGTCAGTCATGTCCGACTCTTTGCAACCTTATGGACTGTAGCCTGCCAGGCTCCTCCGTCAATGGGATGTTTCCAGGCAAGAATACTGGAGTGGGTTGCCATTTTCTTCTCCAGGGGATCTTCCCAACCCAGAGATCAAACCAGGGCCTCCCACATTGCAGGCAGACTCTTTACCATCTGGGCCACCAAGGAATCCCTGTAACATTTATTTAGTACTTAATATATTTTATATTTTGTTCTTATAATGTTACCTTGTAGATTATGTCACTTAAGTTTTGGAATAGCTTTTGTGGAGTAAATACATTGTTTTATCTATTTAGGCTTAGGGTAGATGAATATATAGATGGGGAAACTAAAGCTCTAGAGTTTAATAACCTGTTCAAGGTTATCACAACACAGCAAAGTCAGATTTAAACTTGTATCTCCATAGTGACAAAGAATATGCTTTTAACCATAATACTGTATTACCTCTTATGCTATAAAGTAAAATATTAATTAGTTTTCTATGTTTATAGAGTTTTTAAAATTACATATTATTATAGGAAACAATGTGTTAGTAAAATGTGCAACTGGCACTTCAGATGTTAAAATTTGTTACTTCCCCTCTGAAGCCAGATAGTCTCTAAGGTAATTAATCTACTTAATTTTTAAATTTTAATAACATGTAATAAGATTTACCCTTTAAAATGACTGGTGAAAATTTTGTTTGAAAAGGTAGTATACAAAAAAATGAAGTGGCATATTTGTTTGATTCAATATATACTTTATCAAATGCTTATTTTAAGGTAGGCATTGTGTTAGAATTATTAAAGGAACTTGATATAAAATAGGATTGATAGAGAAGCTTATGAAATCAAAAGTATGAAGGCATCACTGATCTTCCTAATTGTCTGGAAGTCTCACTGATAACAAAGTGAAGTGAAATGAAGTCGCTCAGTGTGTGAAGTGAAGTGAAGTTGCTCAGTTGTGTCCGATTCTTTGTGACCCCATGGACTGTAGCCTGCCAGATTCCTCTGTCCATGGAATTCAACAGGCAAGAATACTAGAGTGCGTTGCCATGTCCTTTTCCAGGGGATCTTCCCAACTCAGGGATGGAACCCAGGTCTCCTGCATTGCAGACAGATTCTTTACTGTCTGAGCCAGCTTTTAAGTTCACCTTTTTGGACTTAAATATTTTGTTTTTAGATATGAAATTATGGAATAGTTTAAAATACTTTTGAAATGCTCCAGTGTATTGTTTTAGAACTATATGATGCTTGATTTGAAATTTGAGTATTGAGATTTTTACAAATTGAGAGAAAAAGTTTGAGATTTTTAAATAGGAAAACATAAGTACTTTTCAGATTTTGAATGTTTTAATTATGGCTCTGTTATGCTGTTAAAATGATATTAGTCAAATCATACTAAGGCCAGTTTTCTTATGTTGTTTTCCTTAAAAGTATATTCTTGTTTGCTGTTTTGGTCTAGATGCCTGATTCTAGATTTTTCTAAATCAGGAGTTCTTAAATGAAGGTGCATATCGATGAAATTGTTCAAAATTTTAATATATTTTGATTATGTCTTATAACTAGAGAGGGAAAGGGGTCATAGCTGTCATAAGATACTGAAGCGTATTCCTTTAACTGCAAAGGTTAAAGATCAGTACTGCAGTTTATAAAATCATTGAAAGTATTTTGAGTTTTGTATTATAGATTTTGTATTCTCTTCTACTGTCTGTCATACTGTGTTGTAGATGTTTAATATTGAATGCATGAATTGGTTGTTCTTAGGTTCTGAGCAACTCATTCTTAATTCCTTCTAGCTTTTTTTTGCACTGTTTTTTTCTTTAACTATGTTTCAGTTTTGTTTTTTTTTAAACAGAGGCTTTTATATCTATAAAAATTCCAAAAACAAGTTGACATTTTTTCTAATTCTATTTTCATCCTTCATAATTCTAATTTACATGTATGATATATTTAAGCTTATTTATTCAGAGAGTGTTTGTTAAATGAACTAGTGGAATAAAGATCATTAAGAGAGCTTAACCATCTAAGAAATTTAAAACATCAAGCTTTTAAAGCTATTTTACTGTGTGTATAAATATTATGATCATAATGGATTTTTTTGTAACTTGCATACTATTATGTCCTTTTCCTAGTTAAAATTATAGAATATTTATGTTTATTATATTTTATATATTTTTGTTTTCATGAAGTTCAATTTGATGTATTCAATTTGCTACAAAGAAGTAAAAGCAAAATACTATGTCTTGGTTTATTAAGAATTTTGTATAATATAAAATTTAAAAATACTTAGTGTAAAATAGTAAAAGTGTTCTCTGAAAAAAATTTGTATTTCTGACTTACATTTTCTTTCTTATCACAGTAAATCAAGAGGAATTCATTGCTATTATGACTGGTGACATTTAAAGAATTACAAGGATAAACACTAAGAATGTTGCAGTTGTCATCTTATATTATATTTTTGTGCCTGGAGCCGTGTTAAAAAAAAAAATCTTAGTTTGTTTTTCCAAAAGGACCAAAAATAAGCATCTTATGTATTCATATTTTACTACTGTTAAGTTTCTTTATATGGATAGTATTGTTAGTACTCTAATAGTTTAGCTTTGTAGTTTATAGTATAGCTTTTATATATAAAGTTTAAAACATTGAATCATGTGGTACACATTTTTTGAAGGTTTTATATTTAGCGTTCGTAGTCACTTTGGGTGCACATGTTTTTCAGACTTTCTTTAATAAAATGTTTATTTTTTCGTGTATTAAAATTTGGTACATTTTGTTTTATTTTGATTCCAAATGTCTGTTAACTCTCAAGCGTATCTTTCTTAAATCTTTTCTCTTTACACTGTTGGTTTCAGAAACAAAAATTGACATACAGATTTTAATATAATAGTACATTTTTTCATTACAAGTTTGACATTTGATGTTTCAGTACAAAATGATGACTCAATATAGGCATAATTCCTTTTTCATGAGTCTTTCAGTTTGGAGGGAAAAAGTATTGTGCATATAGAATTCATTTATCCTCATGTATTATGTTCCATAATACTTTTGGTGTCAACGTAAGTTATGACAGTTAAATCTGGATATTTCCATCTTAAACTAATTGAATACAGTTTGAATCATCTAGCTTCTTGACAAAGTGAAAGATTTAAATTTTGGAATTTTGATCTCTTAAGATAATTATCACTCAATTAAACGTCACAGTGATGAAAATAGGAATCTGTAAGTCACAGAAATCATTGAAGGCTCTGTTTTACTTGTTTAAAGGAACATTCAGTGATTCACCAGCAAACAGTGGAGGCAGATTTTCCAGGTATTGGTGGGTTCTTCCTATAGAAGTGTATGTTGGGGGAGAACACCTGGTAATGGGAGATAGGTCATAGAGAAATAGAATTTATACCCATCCTTCACTAATAATCCTATTCCTGGTGGTAGGAAGAAAGTTTGGTTCAGTGGTGTTTAGGTTCTTGTTTTAAATCTAAAGTACAGTAATAATTTGAAGCACTCTAAGTGTGAGCCTCTTAGCATACTACAGAAAGAATTATCCACTAGGAACTTAGCAAAAAAGATCAGTAAAGAATAATGTAATAGTGGTGATATTTCAGATAATTATCTAGAAAGCAAGTTAATTGTTCACCATATTAAAATTAAACTTTGAACTTGAAATCAGTTGTTCATAGTAGTATAGTGTAGGGATCACAAAGAGCCAGACACGACTGAGTGACCAGTATATAGGGCAACAAATAGGCTGTGAAATTAAAAAAATTGTATCGTAGTGATGAATATGTCTCCCTTGTCTCAATCACAAAGCATGTTGATTTCCAGAAAGTTGAAGAATAAAGCAAATGCAGAGTAGAGCACAAGCATGTAACCAGGCTTGCTAGTGTCCCGCCACTGTATTGGAGTAAACAACCCAAGGTGCCTTTTGTCATGGACAGAGATTCTTCCTTATTCTTAATTGCAAATTCTTTCTCCTTGGGATGCCAGCATTTTCTTTTGAAACTGTGGCTTGAGGGGAAGAGTGCTCACCTCAGTTCTTTGTTTGTGAAAGCTTTCTCTTACAGAAGGCTATGAATTATTTTCAAGTTTTTTCCAGTGACAATAACTGAAAAGTCCAAAGGCTTATAAAATTAACTAGTAGAGGGGGCAGTAAGAAGACAGGAGTGCATTTGCTTTACAAAAGGAAGTGGAGGTGAGTACTAGTCATTTATTATTATAGTTACATTGATTATGCAGTGACATTTCATGATGTAAGAAAATAGCTTTCTTGTTAAGTTGGTGCGTTTGCTGCTCTGGTGTCCTGGTAAGCTTTGATAGTTTGCGATTTTTCAGCTAAGATCTTTTTTTTTTATATGTAAGCTTACAAAGCCTACTTTCTTAAGAAGTTATGTGCCTCTCAACAGTTCCTAAATTAGGGTCTGGTGGTAGGTAGTTGCGATGGGGAGGAAATCAGAAATATATTTATTATGCACTTAATATGTGATGCATAATGCTTATTTAATAGTTTATTGCAGGAAATTCATATAGCACTTCTAATGGAACACTATCAAATTTAGTTGATGTGCCAGTGTTAATGGCCTTGCATTAGCAAACACTATGATGAGTGAACTATCCAGTTGGGTTGCTCATTTCCTCAACTCCCTCAGCCATCTATCTGATGCTAATCTCTGAATGTAAATCCTCTTGGGAATTGCTAGTGATGTGTTCTACCCTGAAAATGATTTTTAATGTTCTGAAGACCAACGTGAAGATGGCAAGATAGTTTTTAAAAGTCATTTAAAATATATAATTAAATTTAACTTATGTAGGTATTATATAAAGATAATATAGACAGTAACAGCAAAAATTCTTTGTTTTAAGATTGCCAGTTCCATTCCCATTCCTCTCAATGGTATCAGTATCAGTTGGACTTCAGACATCAAGAAGAGCACAATTGTATGTTTTAACAGAGTGTAATATAGAGAGTGGACTTCCCTGGTGGCTCAGTGGTAAAGAATCTGCCTGCAATGCAGGAGACGCAGGTTTGATCCCTGGGTTGGGAAAGATCCCCTGCAGAATGAAATGGCAACCCACTGCAGTATTCTTGCCTGGCAAATCCCATGGACAGAAGAGCGTGGCGGGCTGCAGTCCTAGGGTCACGAAAGAGTCTGCCACAACTTAGTGACTGCTGCTGCTGCTTCACTTCAGTTGTGTCCGACTCTGTGCGACCCCATAGACGGCAGCCCACCAGGCTCTGCCGTCCCTGGGATTCTCCAGGCAAGAACACTGGAGTGGGTTGCCATTTCCTTCTCCAGTGCATGAGAGTGAAAAGTGAAAGTAAAGTCTCTCAGTCGTGTCCGACTCTTCGCAACCCCATGGACTGCAGCCCACCAGGCTCCTCCGTCCATGGGATTTTCCAGGCAAGAGCACTGGAGTGGGTTGCCATTGCCTTCTCTGGACTTAGCGACTAAACAGCACATATTGGAAGTAAATTAAATTGGTGTTAGAGAACCAAAAAAAAAAAAAAATCAGAAAAGGAACACTGAGATAGCTGAGGGTAAAGGTGGTGGTTCCTGAAAACTAGAAGTTTGGAGGAAAGGTTCTGCAGAGCAGGGACTCAGAGATGCCTGAGGAGGCACGTACTGGTAGGGGATTGATGAGGCTGGTTTGGGAAATCTCGAGAAAAAGCTGGCGAGTGGAACCAGGTGATGCTCCTGAAATGAAGACCTGTTGCCTTGGAGATGTTGACAGGAACTCCAGGCAAACAGGAAATGTTAAGAGCCTTTCCTCCTCCTGTCTTCCTTTATTCTTCTAGTTCTCTTTCTGCATGCATGTGTGCCAAGTCACTTCAGTTGTATCTGACTCTGTGACCCCTGGACTGGAGGCCTCCAGGGCCCTCTATCCATGGGGATTCTCCAGGCAAGAATCCTGGAGTGGATTGCCATGCCCTCCTGCAGGGGATTTTCTTGACCCAGGGATCAAACCCCCATCTCTTACATATCCTGCATTGGCAGTAGGGTTCTTTACCACTAATGCCATCTGGAAAGCCCCAGTTCAGTTTTTAGTGGAGCTTAAAAAAGTTCAGCCGGCAAAGGGAAAATGTCGTTTACACAGACCTAACCCCCAGTATTATGCATTTGAGTATAGAATATGACTTGGAGCTGTGTGGGGAAAAAGTTTAGTAACAGACACAATTGACCATATATTTTATGATCTGAACCAGGTTACTTGAGAGTGAAGGGGCTTAGGGGAGATTATTATTTATATTGGGGCAACAGGTTTAACTCAGAACTAGTCTAGGCAAACTAGGACATACTGTCACCTTTTACCAGGGACTAGTATCCATTGTTATTTTGGAGGAGATTCTTTCATCCTGTTTCCTTTGCACTTACATGAGATTATAGAAATAGTTTTTTTTTTTCTTTCACATGAATATCCATTCTGCAGCTAAATTTTATAAAGGAAATGTCTTTAAAAATTTAGTAACTTGGACTTCCCTGTGGTCCAGTGGTTAAGACCATGCTGCCAATACTGGGCATGGGTTTGATGCCTACTCAGGGAGCTAAAATCCCACATGCCTTGAGGTGTAGCCAAAAGAGTAAAAAGAAAACAAACAGTAAAAATTAGTAACTTAATTAAGTGCTATTGTGTTCCAGGCACACAGAGGTATTTATATACATTATGTATTTTAATCTTAATAACTTGGGATAGATACTGTTGAGTGGCTTTTGTTTTACATACACAAAACTCAAAGCTTAGAGGGCTTAAGTAATTTGTTCAAGGTAACGCTTTAGTTTTAGTTGCTAAGTCGTGTCCAACTCTTGGCAACCCCAAAGAGGCTCCTGCCAGATTCCTCTGTCCGTGGGATTTTCCAGGCAAGAAAATGGAGTAGCTTGCCATGTCCTTCTCCAGAGGATCTCCCTGACCCAGGGATTGAACTCCAGTCTCCTGCATTGCAGGCAGATTCTTTACCAACTGATCTACCAGGGAAGCCCTTCAAGGTAATAGGAATTAGAATTTGCTCCTAAGCGTTCTGACTCCAGAGTCTGCTCATAGCCACTAGATTATCTGCCTACAATGATGTTTATAAACTATCTCAAGGTACAAAGGATGAAAGTTTAAAAACCTCCAGGGGATCTATCATGGATGACCTCCTTAATTGTAACAGCTGGTTAATGATTTGTGTTTCATTAGAGAAACTATCTTTCCTTAGAGAACATGTATCTTGCTTGTGTTGAAAATTGAGGCATTTAAAGTCCTTGCCAACGTGGTAAACTTAACCATACTTAAAGCAAAATCGACATTTTTCTTTTTCATTTCCTATTAAGGTAAACATGTTCAATTAAATCTGAAATAGCTGGCCAAAACTAAACTTTCCAGGAGACTTTCTCTATATCAGTCCTGCTGAGACATAATTATTGCTAATC